GACCCAAAGTGGAAGATGACGGGCGAAGGACGGGGCGGAGTGCGAGACGAGATACGCGAAGGAAAGATTAATATTTTCATTTCTCTTGAGACAATTCTTTACAACTTCTCGGTATGGAGCAGAGATGCGCGATCTATTTGGATCGGATGAAGTCCGGCTCGATTTGGATTCCACAATAGCAAAAAGACGAAAATTCGATTCGACTCGACGATCCTTGATTCGCATATCTCAAGTAATGGAGAAATGGCCCTCGCGAGCAAATGATCCACAGCCATCGACCTGTCATTCTCGTAATTTTATTTGCGACGAGCCAATCGACCGTGCGACGACCCACTTTTTACGGTTCTCGTCCTCCGATATTTCGTAGTCATCGCCATGCTGGCGTGAAATAATTCTTAGTCGCTCCTCTGGCCGCTACGCTCGCGATGTTGTCCAGCGCGACGACGTCGAAGGAACGAACAAACGGTGTCGGAGGCGCAACGGGGATGGCGCGACGATGCCTGGCGTGGGCGGCGGTCGAGCCGAGGGGTTGAAACGCGGGAAAGTCCCTCGGGTCCCAATTACACCGACACCCGATCCCAGCATTACGGCCCGGCTAATTCGAGGGGAGAGTCGTATATAAATCTCGGCGAGTTGATTGTGCAGTTTCAATTCCGTTTGTCGCCCGATGTTGCCGCCCGGCGACGCCAGAGATAACGCGCCGGCAGGTCGTTACAGTTACTTTTTCACCGGAGAGATTAATTTCGCATCAGAGCCCGCGCGCGACGCGACGCTCGTTCGATCGAGCGTGTCCCATAACTGTAACCGGATACGATTGAGCGTAATGTTTGTCATTAGAGATAACTACTTCGCGCCGCGCGAATTCGTTACCGGCGAATTACCGCGAAAGACGTTTCCGCCTGCCCAACAATGCCACGTCCGTAATTCCCTTACGACTCTTTCAATAAGACGAGCTTTGTTTCTCCTTTATTCGCAAAGTGCCAAAGGCAAGCGAATCGATGAACATCGCTTAGTAACGCGACATGATTGATGGAACAACGATCGCGCGGAGCCTTTTCTTTGCGCGGAAAATCTCACGGCGCAACTTAAGGTAGTTAACAACGCTCCTCGTAGATTGCCGCGAGAGGGATGTGGGAGGAGAGCTTGAAAGGGGTGTTCCTCTCGACGGGTCGCGCGACAAACGGCTCGGCTAATTACAGAGAGGCCGCAGCTCCGTGTAAACCGGCGGCAATGGCAGCTGTCGGTTCCCAGGCTACCGCGGTCCCGAAGGTTTACGCGTGTCGGGAGCTTTTTGCTCTTGCGTGAAAATGTCGTCGTTCGTTAATTCGATGGTACGCGCCCGGCCAGAATATCCGCCAGCGGATCGTATCCAGAAGCGGCCGCGCGTTTCTCTCCGCCGTGTTTGTTATTCTTTCGTCCGTCCGCGCGTATCGTTTCAATACTAATATTAATATTAGCAAGTAACGAGCCCGGCGTATCCAGAGCCCCCCGATTCCGTCCAGAATCCGAACGCGAAGTCTAAATGCGATCTTCCGCGTTTGCGTAAGCGCCAGAAGAACGTGGGAAACGCACTTCGTAAGCGATACAATACTTCCTTGTACGGCCCAATTACGCAGAAAAAAAAATGGATAAAACAATGACGCCATTCCTGTTCCTGCGTTTTATAATCATACGACGTTTACGCACAGCGAATATGAAGCGTGAACTAAGTATTCGCATATCATTATCGTTTACGTTATGAATCAGATAGAAAAGCTTTGAATATTCAACGAATCGTATTTTATTAAGCACCTCGATGTGGAGATGGTGCTTACGGTCATGAACTTTTTAATTATAATTTTTCCGGAGGATTAACAACGAGAGCAGCCATCAGAAGCGAGCTCGAACGCGGAGGTCGTTGCTCTCCCGTGTGCTCTATTCAGAATTACGAGACGCCGCGCATTCACCAGCTGCGAAAGGTCATCTTATTGTTCGCCGTCGACAAAGTCGCGCATCCAACTGGCAACCCCCTCGCGCCGTCGCGATACCAGCGAGGAAGGAAGCCCGGATTTCTCGCAACCCCTGCTAAGATAATACGGCCACCCCGCCCGGCGGGCGGTCCAAGATTTCAACCTTTACCGAAATGCCAAGCGGGGCTTTAAACGGGCTAATAACGCCGCTTTCGCCCCCTTCGACACGCCGTATCTTCGCGTACGATTTCGATTCTGCCGCACAAATTGCCCGTAGAATCACGCACAGCGAAGCGCTTCCTTCGACGTCGTTGGCTCTCGCCTCTCGTAATAACGTCGTATGACGACGAGACATTCGTTCCCAGGAGATGACAATTTTGCTCTTACCGATATTAGCCCCGAATTGACGCTGTTACACTTTGTCGCGTATTTTTAAACTCGTTAAACGTTTTTATTACCGGCGCACGAAGTTTACCTGACAATCCCGAGCGAATGCGCGCGCGTGGGCTGCTGTCTTGGTATTTTAAACCCCAAGCCGGATGGCTTAGCAAGGAAGGTTCGCGCACGTGTGCATCGTGCACCGTTCTGCGGGAAAAAGGGGTGTGCAGCAGCGAGGTACTCGATCGGAAAAACTGCCGACGGATACGCCCTCGTTAAAGCGCCTCGGGGTCGACGTCGTCGTCGTCGTCGTCGTCGTCGTCGTCGCCGCCGCCGCCGGCCGGCGTACGGTAAAGGTTGACACGGTATCTCTTACAAGACGGTCATTAGTCGAATGAGAGGAGGAAGTCTTACGAAGTGCCTGCGTAAATATCTGTGGGACTGGCTGGTCATCAATCATCTTAGAATCCTGCGAACCGCGAGCCGCTACGCACGAAAATTACGTATCGCCTTACGCCTCGCGACGCCACGAGACCCGCCCTGAGCAGGGAGACGAAATTACACCGGAGGCCTCTCTTAATGAACCATTATTTTTTACGAAAAGAATATTTCCATTTCACGAGTCCCGGCATAATTTCGAGTTAACGCCGGAGTGTCTTGGCAGACACACCCGTCGCCACAAAATATCGGGAAATAAACGAGAGGTATTTCTTTTCCCGAAAGCATTTCGAGGGAGAGTTCCATCTATTATTAAAATATGAATCAATGATACGCGTCGATCACGTCGCGTCGCCGTTTAAGTGATAACGTAATGTCGCGCGCGTGCGAAACACGCGCGCAGAGCGCATACATCGTTCGCGCGGATAAAGTTATCGATAGGCCGCACAATGCGGGCGGACTATTTACTATATTTGCGATATCATAGGGCGAGTAATGGTCTCGCTTGACGTTACGGTCGGAAGGACGAAGCAGCAGGGGATGGAAGATGACGCGAGAGAAAAAGAGAGCGAGAGAGACACAGGGTGGATAGGATATTCCGTGAGACTGGCTGTCATATTCATGTATTGACACCGAGCTGGTTGACTAATGGACTGCTGTTGTCACAGGCTCGTGTTACCGCGAGGGCCTGGCCTCGCCGAGTCGTTTTTCCTGAGAATCGACCGAAACGCATTCGCGCCTATAACATTCGTCTCGCGTGTTTATCGAAAATTCGGCCTCGCGCGAATCGTGAGTCATCTCGCGCACGCCGTACGGAATCGCGTCTGTCAAAATGAGAAAATTTCGGCCCATCCCGCGGAGGCCTCTGGGGGAAAAAAAAGAAATTTTATATCACGTGCGTTTCGCTGAACAATATTTTAATCGCACGATTTTTCTGAGGCACGCGGCTACGCCGGTTACCAGGAGACCATTTCACTCGTTATTCTTGAATAGAATAGCACGTCGCGTTTCCTAAAGCCGCGAATGGCGTGGCCGTTCTTCCCCGACTTTTACATATTTATCGAGCCTCGCATTGTTGTCACGTCAGATGAGAGACGTCGACATTGTCGAGCCTCGAAAATCCGCGATATTATATCTGCAAGCTGGAACCGAAGATCCAGTTCTGATCCTCGCCACGGTACCCTCTCGTCCCACCCCGTCCCCTCCAGTTCGCATATCATTGAAGTCACTCCTGAAATCTGTGCGCATCTGACGCGCGGAAAAATGGAGGAAATGAAAAACGAGTGATCAAAATTTTCGATTAAAGCGACAACAATTTTACAATGTAATAATGTACGCTCTCATCTTATGTCAGCGTTTGATTTACGCAAATTCGAATTTACATGGTGGGTTACAGGTAACGCATTAATCGCGTAAATTGAGAGTTATCTGTATACCCCTCTCACCTGTCCGTTCGATATTTCATCGCGCACAATAACACGTTTGGCTTTTATAACAAATGGCACTCGCGAAAATTTCGTTTTTGTTGACGCGCTCGTTCAGAAATTACACGCTACACAATTACAGAGAAATTAATGAACGAATGGGAAATCGCGCCAGAATAGGACTTGGACGAAAGGGCCAAGAATAATTGCACGGGATTGAGGGTGTTAAAGGGAAACGGATAACGAGCGCGCAACGTTAACTATTCTATTACCGTTTGACATCTGATACGAGCTCGGTTAGGCGATCGCGATCTTCGGCCCGATCCCCGATCTCCCTTCGGTTAGACGCGAGGACGCCTAGAAGACGCCGAGTCTAAAGTAGGTGAGGGGAACGTTACGGGGGGGAGGGGGGGGTTAAGGCGAGAGACCCCCAACGTGGAATAATACGATACGCAGGAATCGATGGACGGACGGACGGACGCGAGCCGAGATTTTATAGCGCGATGCCTCCACGGCTTCTTGATTTATCGGCGAGTTAAGCCTCGGCTTCGAAAACCCGCCCGAGGCGCTCGATGCACGCCCGTAAGATTACCGTGTGTCGCGGATCGCGGCGCTCTCGGGGCCCCCGTCAATGCGCTGTTTGCCAGCCAAGTCAATTTTCTCAAAGCTGTGCGTGCGGGGGGACGCGGAGCGGGCACGGGCTGCCACTTGTAAACTCGCATAAACCGATCGTCTCGATTCGATGCCTCGTGGAAGGACACACCCCCTCTCGCGATCTCGACCAGGTGAAATCTCGTACTCTTGTACTCACCTCGCACCTTCTGCTCGTCTTGTAGCTGCCGCTCTAGACTGTCCTTGACCTCCCGCTCCCGGAGAACGTCCATTTTCAGCTCGGCTGTAACACACGCAAGATAATGGAAGTTTATTTAAACGCTCTTGTGCACTCCCCCCCCCCGCCCCAGAGAATATCAACTACCGCGGGATACGTAGGGAGGGGTTCTTCATTCAGTTCTGACTTCCCCTATCGTTAGTTTTAATTGCCCGGTTACCTAGCTCGCGCGAAGATACTCAAGACAACCGAGTGTCTTCATCCTCCGTGAATAATTACTAGAAATGGTCTCATCTTCTCGAGAAGACCTCGTCGAGAAGGACCAAGTCACCAGCCGTAAATTCAGGAAACGCGAAGGATTTCAAGATCAGCTGTAGTCAGCGGTTAATTTGACAATAGGAGTGTCTTCCACCCCGTTTCCTCCTCCCCGCTATCCACCTGCCATCGTCCGATAGGTGCTGCGGGGAGGATATCGCACGCTTGGCTGAGTTCGTGATTAAATCCAATGGCGATGGGCAGACCAGAGCTCGCATAGTTACCTCTAATAGAATTATATTAAGACATGGAGTCTCCATCCTCCGCCCCGTCGTTTCCCCGCTTCCACCTGCTTTGCCCATGTTTCTCGTCTCGTGTACGACTTCCCCCCCCCCCCCTCTCATCCCTATCTCCGTCTCCGACTTGCAGAACTCCCCCGTTCCCGTGGGAGCCACCGCGCTAAATTAGCCATTTCGAATCTCTGCTAGAGGGTCGTTAGGACGAGTCCAGAAACTCGTTGAACGGTACTAAGAAACGTGCGCCATGCGGTGACCAGTTTTCAGTCACTCTCGCGGCGTAAACGTGACGTGCTGAGGTAAGCGTAAGCATATAAATGAGAAAATTAAAGAGCGCGTGAACGTGTAAACGACGGACTCCGAATTGTAAAGCCGGAACTCGGGGAAAAATTCTGCCCTCCTTTAGAGTTTGAGGGTCGCAAAATCATTTTTGAGACTGGCAACACGGTAAAACGTTTCCGGGCTCTAACTCAAGCAAGCTAATTCGATTTAACGGAAGAAAAGTAAGGCGGTGGAAGAGGCTGCTCCCCTCCTTCTCTCCCCTCTGGCTCGCTCGCTTCTCGAATTACATTGGTGGGCAATGAGCCACGTAGCTCGTAACGCACGTCAGCTCGCCGGACAATTTGCAGATTTTTCGCTACGCCGTTAACAAGAAATTGTACGCTGTATATTGGAATTAAGTTAATAAAATTGGACGTAAATTCGAGACACTCGGCTCGCACATTAATTACAAGGAAAGGGACTTACAGGGGAGGAAATTTGACAATAATTTTATTTAGTCCGATCTGAATCCATTTTCCACGAGTGGCGTTTTCATACCTCATCGGGGAAGGTTTAATAAAATTCGAAACAACGTTTAATCCGCTTATCGCATTTCGCAAGCTTTTAAAAGACTCTTTCGCAAGCTCGTGTATACGCTACCGTCGCATTAGCAGCAATTATTTCCCGACCCGGGTTCTCGTGGAGAATCCAAAAAGTTTCGCGACATACGTTCAGACCGAAGCAGTGACGGGAAAAAGAGAGGAAGAGAAAGAGAGGGAGGGAGAGAGAGAGAGACGAAGCCTGACAGAGAATCAAGCCGGTAGATTAGGTAGGGCCGCGTCGTCTCAGCAGTCTGCCAGCAATTTGAGAGCGTTTGCGAGGTCCATTAACGGCGGTAACTCTTCACGACCGGCCGCCACGAAGATTCAATTTGAATGCTAACCAGAATAGGAAGTTCGCGCCGGGGCCCCATGGTATATACGCCGCGCGCTGTGTTCCTTCCCTCCCCCCCTCCAGTCCCCCTTAACCCCCGTTATCCCCTCGCCACCCTGTTATTGCCAATTTCGGCGCGTTTCTGCAGCCCACTTTGCGATCGTTTAGATTTATCATCTCTCCGTTCTTCTTCTCTCCCCTCCCCCCCCTCCCTCTCTCTCTCTCTCTTTCGACGGCCATGGGTACCTTCCGTACCTCCCCGCTACCCCTTTTCCGTATCTTCTACATTCTGCTTTACCCCTCCCACCCCCCGGCCCGCTTTCTCTCAAACGTTTCCTGGGATAATTGAACTTTATTAGAGATCGTCGTCGAAACACCAGCCCTTGCATCCACCCCGAGGCTTATTCCGGATCGACTTGATTCCGAGATGCTTTAACGATTACTCCGCTCGCTCGCTTATCTTTCTCTCACCCGCGAAAACGCCTCTCGAATCTATACCGCGACGAATATCTCGGGAGAACATCAGCTCCTGTGTTTCTCTGTGATCGTCGCGTGCTACGCTTCGTGAATGGCTTTCGTGTTCAAACAAAGCTGAAAAAAATCAATTCTTAACGAAACTCTCGCGCGATTGGCGTGTACGATACAACCTGCCCAAGAGTATATCTGTATTCGATGTCGCTACATCACGTCGCCGAAAATTACCTTCCGCCTGGAGGCAGATGCTATGCCATGTGCAAAATACCTTTCCTCAGATCTTACGTTCTTTTTGCGGCGCAAAGCGGCGCGAGCCTCGCCGAGGGACGGCTGGGAAAGTTTGTCGCGATGGAGAGGAGAAAAAAAAAGCTGGAAATCAATTATGCGAGCTCGGCGCTCCTCGCCGTGGGGGAGGAGCGACCTTATTGAAATTTGGCTGCGGGGTCGTGAGCATTAAAATTGCAGGGATTAATATTAGCCGTGGTGAAAAGCGCTTTACTCGCTTGCCTCGTAAGGAAATGATTCCACCGCGCCGCGCCGCTCCGTTCGGTTATAAAAGCCCGGCCCGTTCTATCATTCTTATGTCAATTAGACGAGCCCTAATCGCGACCCGGCTCATAAACCGAGAATTATATCTTTAATTTTAGCGGCCGTATTCAGCCGCTCGCGAAACAGGATTCTGCCCTACGCGCTTTCTTCATCGCTGCGGGCGAGATCGCTTTAACCACGACAGATGGATGGTAATTAATGACGAGAAGCTGTCCGTCAATCAATTTCGCTGCCGAGTCTGACGTACGAAGAAATATAAGCAGCGAATTATACAGTACATTTTACATTGATATTACATTTCTACACGGGGAAAAAATGCCGTTGAATTAAGCAGAATGAAGTTGCTTGATTTAAATAATTCACTCGATTACATGGATTTGCATTTTAAACGTTCAACTAAATATTCAGATTATTAAGACGACAATCTGATGTTTTTCATTTATTAATACTAATGTTGTGTCTACGATCTTATTTCAATTGCACTGATCTCGTTGATACAACACCATCCTTTTCTCCGTGTACCAGGGTTGGGAAGTAACGAAGTTACTTTTTTTGTAAAAGTCTAACTTAACTTGGTTACATTAATATATACTTTATATATCTTTTAAACCTCCACAGATCGCATTGGCGCATAAACGCTTTTCTCGACGCTTAACAATTCAAATGCAGATTTGATACTTTTATTTTTATTGCCGGAAAGTAACTGCAACGCGTTGCTTTTCAGAATTGGTAACTTGGAACTGTAACTAGTTACATTTTTAGCGAAAAAACTAGATACTTTTATAAAGTAACTCTTTTCCAACTCTGATTCCTACCTTAATTGTCGCTGAATTATCCTTCTTGCGCACCGAAAGAGACCCAGTAAATATCATACGAAAACACAGTGCATAAAAAAAATTTATAAGCCTTTTTGCATACAGTACACAAGTCCGTAATCCTGCGTTTTTTTATTGTTTTGTACAGCGGTGCCCGATGGCATTTGACCACATGCCATGCATCGTTTGAATTAGTTTGATTGCACTTGACAAGGGCCGAGACCCATGACCGAAACGTTGTGCTAATAAAGGAAGTTTTCCCTTTCGTTGCCAGTGGTGTCGGGTTATTAATTATAAAAAATAATGAATAAAAAGTGTGAATAATTAATATTTTACGAATTAATTTCACCGCCACTTCGGTCCTTTCCGCAGTTAAATAATCAAGTCCTCTTCGTCGCTTAACGCTTCTACGTGTGCACATTCACATGCATCGCCCGGCCACGATGCTCGGTGGTGTTAGTTCGGCGGATACATTTCCGAGAGCCGCGCTCATCACGATTTACGAGTTTCTCGCCGGACGGCGAACGATATCGCGAGCGGGCTCGAGCGGACCTAGGATCGTTGGCGATAATAATTTTCACGGTGGCGCGAGCACTCGCGTAGTAACAATAACGGTGCAACGGAACGTGCATGGCACTGTTACCGGAGCGATTCATGGTTATTGATTAGTATATACGGTCGCAGGAAGACGAGAGAGGCTGCGGTATGGCGTTCACAACCCCCGAGGGCTTGTACCACGACGTTGGTGTACACACGGGCACGCACAAGCACAGATATTATGTGTGCATACATATAAATATACACGTACACGCGTATTCGCGGCGAATGTATGTATATCTCTACGTAGCTGCGTACACTCGACGCTAAGATATTCGCCGGGCCCTAAGGCGACCCTCAGAAACAACAATGTCAACTTGCCCGGCGCGGCCCGCAATCGTTTGAATAGTATAATGTAGTTTTCGTGTTACAACTCCACTCACCCTCGTGCACAAGTCCCCGCCTAGCGCCTACGAAACAACCGGCCTTTTCTTTCTCGCGACCTATTTCAAGCGTCTAATACCGGGGTCGTCGCGACGCTTTAACGGGCGGACGAAGCGCCTACGAGCGAAGAGACGAGGAGGCCCAGGGTCTCGAGGCCGCGCGGCGAGATCGGCGGGTATTTATGAATTTAATTTTAACGGATCAAGAGCGGTAATAAAGCGCGGGCAGGAATTAACCGCCGGATTATTTCGGTAATTTACAGCCCCGGGGATCGCGCGTCTGGCATTCTCTTATTTGCATCGCGATATCCACGGGGGTGTGCGCGGCTTCCGCGTATCCTCCGTGACTCTTCCGAAGAGAAGAAGAGTCTTTTCCCCTCGGTAAAAAGTTTCCTCGCGATAAAACGTCTCTCTTTCTCGCGCGCATCTTAATTGCGTACACGCGCTCTCGAGGCCTCGATTCGCGGTCGTTTCGCGTTTCTCGAAGGCGGCCCCGTAG